CCGTACGTTTAATGTTGCTGTCACAGATACGGCTTCACTGTCTCTTTGGAGGCGTTAAGCAAGATTTGAATTTAGGATCTGGCCAAGTACAGTTGGTCACGCCATAGTGGTTCTTGATCTTTCGGTATCTGGTTTTTGGTGCTCGAGAAGAGGGCGCATCGGACATTTACAGGCCTGATACCACAGTGTCACATATAAAAAAGATACAGCCCACTACTTCAGGGCCAGCTATATCAGATATGCTCACAGGCGTACGTGATACAAGTACGGTACGTGGTACGGGCCGAAAAATTATTCACTTTTTTCAGTTCTTTGAGACTTGTTGAAGCTAATCTTTTGTTGCTTCTCTTGCTTTGGGATTTGACAGAGTTTTCTCCTCCCTCTATGTTTTTTTGGTGATATTTATTTGTAATTTGTGTAGAACTCGGGAAGCATCAGTGCGACATTTGCAAAAAGCGGTTTTCGGCTGAATCTACTGTTCGAAGACACATTCGACACGTCCACCTACGTAAGTCTATAGCATTTCTTCTCCCTCCTTAAGTAAATTTTGCTCGACGATTTATTATAATATATTCTTTATTAAGTGCACTTTCTTTTGCCGAACACTGGCCCTGGGGATCTGTTTTATATGTTTTTTCATGTTGCTGTTTGCGTGGACCGATTATGTCTAGCTTTATGATAAATCGTACTGGTTTCCCTTTTGCAGTCTGGTCAGTTATTCGACCGTCACAATGGCAAACAATGGATATTGACTTACTGAACATATTTGCTAGTCATCTATTTTATTATTGTTCAGTTTCTCGCAGCTCGTTTCACTCGTGCACTGTGAGGCGTTGTTCCAGTTTTTGTAGTCCTGTAATCATGTTCCTACTTCAAACTAATTAGCAACGATTACATAATTTAATTTGTATAATTTGCAAGGGTTTTCTTCCTTTCAGTGCTATTTATCATGGCGTGTTCTGCCACTACCTTTATTTTCCGTGCGAGTTTTTTATGTGACAATTGCTTTTGTTCTACTTTTGTTCAACTTAAGTTGTCATCGTGTATTCTTTTAGAATTTCACTTTTTCAACTTTTGAAAGTAACTTTGCGATAGTACAAAATCAAATTCGTTCTATTGGTTTGTAAGAACGATGATGAAAATATTCAGAGTCATTGATTGTCACCTCTCAAAATAAGTAGTAGTCTTGCATTTCTTGTAAAAGGTTGTAATGAAGTCCCTACCACCAACTTCTTAAGGAGCTTTAGAAACCATTTTATATTCCCGTTTTTTTATCCTTGCCGTTTTAGTATATAGCGCGCAAACTCCTTTCGCGCCTTACCTGTATCAGCTAGTCAATTTTCTCACAATCCCAGGATCTTCTAGCAACCGGTCCATTATACATTTTGTGTTTTAGGTATCAAAGGCCACCAGTGCCTGGTGTGTGAAAAAAGGTTTTTCCATCTTCGAGAGCTCCGCACTCATATACGCAAGGAACACGGAGATAAGTCCGCTCAAGTGCTCTTCGACCAGTGAATCGTTTTAAATAGGCAAGCTATCTTAGGCATCTTCTGTCTGTTTATACGGCATCGCTTTTATTTGGACTGGGAGCTCCTGTGCCGTTACAACCATGCATATGACTCCTTCAAACTTGTAATATGAGCAGAAGAAAATGTGGCTCGCATGTCCGCTCATGCTGACTCGAATAGCCAGCAGCAGCAAGTTTGCTTACCATAAAAGTTGCGGTCTGTGACATGTTCTTCGTCCTTAAGCTGTTCAAGTGTCTACCTGTCGAACGGAGATATTTTTCGTCCCCTTTACGCAAAGGTAGGCTCACTTTTCTAGTTGAACAACGGGACCGATCAATTTGATTGGTGTTACTGCCATATCGTGTCTGCAAAAACTGTTTGACAGTCTGCTCTACGCGAATTCGAGGGTCCATCGGTTGGGGCTCGTTAAATAACAGACTCCGCTTTCATTTTTCTGTTTTCAGAATCCACCCTGAAAGCTGTTTTACCTTTTACTGTTTTACTTTTTAGTTAGACACCTCGGTTGTTCCGTCGGCAGTTTGCTAACTGGAATTGACCATCGAAATCTATCGTCATTTACCCCACCCTGTCCCTTGCTACTCTTGCGTTTGGACGTGAATCCAAAAACATAGGTGGCGCCAATTTTTGAGTTCTCTTCTTTTTACTTTTATATTTCTCCTTGATCTGACTAACACAGTTACCAGCGTTCTTCGTAATTAAGACTGTTCCTCCATTCTATCTGTAGTCACACCGTTCCCCCCCCCTCCTCTGTATAGTCTCCCAATGTACATTTTCCTTCATTGAAATGAAAACTTTGCCGCTGCCTCCAACTACTTTGGCCTCTTCCAAGTCATGCAATTATGAATTTTTCAGACTGTCGGCTTGTAACAACCCGTCTTAGAGTTATCTGTGGAATAAAACGTTTTTGGGATCTTAGAGAAACTATTTCTTAAAACTGTAAAGGAATCTGCAATTTTCTTTAGAGATACTGTGAAAACCATGCAGTTTTGAGACAAAAAAGACAAGTGCAACTGCAGGTCAGGTTCAAGATTATTCGGGAAGGGGAAACTTAAAACCCTAAAGGGACCCCTTCATCCTCAAGTGATTGGAATATCTTGAGTTTGTGCTGTAAGCTTTGCTCGTCGAAAATAAAAGATTCAAAACGTGGATCAAATTTTCTTGAGATAGAACATCTTTTTTATAGTACCTGCTTTTACTCATGAAATGTAAGTATTTGTAGAGTAGAATCCCTGTTACGCAAACGCAGCTCTTTTTGCGTCCCCCAAAGTCTTACAGCAGTAAGGTAATTGTTGTTCATCAAAATAAGGCGTATTGCGGTTTATCAAATAATTTTACGTTTTTTAGAAATAGTAGCTTTTTTAGAAAAGCGGAAATTTCTGAAATGGAAATCGGGCGTACTAGATAAACTTGAGTTTTTAACATAGAGAGAGCCTGCTCGTACAAAAACACGAGTGAATAAAGCAGCACAAGTAGAATTTCGTTGGAAAATAATTCTTTTATAAAATTTTCGAATACATATCCTTCCATATTACAGGCAATGTAACTTATGGCTGTTACCGAACAGCCGAAAATTCAAGTATGTATTCTAATATGGTTCCATGTATTGTTGTTTCTTCCGTTTATAAATTGTTTGAGTTAGGTTGGAAAAAGACAACCAGATTTCCGCTTTATTGCGCCGATTTGAAGGTCTGAGGTCCAAGGTATTTCGTAAGCTCACGTGCAGAAATGCCGGACAGTGACTAAAAAATTTTAATGAAATTGTCAGGTGCAGTCGTTAACATACCATTTTGTGCACACTAAGAGAAATTTCCTTCAATCACATTGCTTTGTAATTATTTTGGGATTTCGATTACGACGAGGATCAGATCGTTCTTGAAATGGTGGTTAACACTACGATTTTCAGTGATACGACTTGATTGTCCGTAGATAAGGATTATATTCTATGTGCTTACCAAAACCTTCAAAATAGGATATTCCTTAAACACGTTTACCTAAATATTGAGTTTTTGGGCATGTATTCTAGAGATCTCTCTGTTTGTGTCGTGGTTTTAGAAACACCCAAACATGTCAACTCACTGTCGAAAAAAATTGTCCGCAACAGTAGTCAGATATTAATCTGTCTAAGATTAATCAAAAAGCGTTATGTAACAGGTTATTTCTTGAAATAGCGCTCAAGATAAATATGGCAAAGTTTGGCCGTTTCTGACTTCCCTGAACATTAGGAATAAATCTGCTGAAAATGAAAGAACTTACTATTCTATGTATACTGGGTAAGGATCTATAGTGGAGTCCCCACAGTCACCGAAGACGAGGTCATGGTGTCGTTCGAAGTCACCTCCCTCTTTACTTCGATCCCATAAGACCTGGTAGTGTGTGTGTCGTAGCCCATAGTTGGATCAGGAATCCCCGCCGGAATCCAAACTGGGAGTAGTTGGGAGACGGAGAAAATCCGCGACCTCGACCGGCTTGAGCCAAAGGTCCGCGA